CTGTGACGACTAAGATGGAATGCCTCGTTTCCAGTAAAAAGGGTCTCCGGTTCTCTACACTCGCCATACGAACAGCAACATTAAGCTACTATTTTACGCTGGTATTCTGTGGGAGCGTGGTGCTTCCTCGGTCAAGCCGACCCATTCGTGCTACAACTATACTACTAATATAACTGCAGCATGGCTCCACTACCTGTAAAAAGTTTGAATATTTGTTAAGTTTGGTATCCAAACATACTGAAAAAGAAGTCACGATATTTCGATAAAATGTGAGTACCAAAGAATGTTTGATGGTGACATTACGTTTTATAGCCACCGGAAATTAATATTAAGATTTAAAGTACTGCTCTCTGATATCATACTTCTATCAATACTTCAAGACATCCGCTTGTATCAAAGCGCGGGCGCCGACTGGTTGTTTTAAATCCCAACGTTGCGATTACACTGTCCTAAATTGTAAACAATTTAGGAAATAGAGCGATTGGGACCTCCAATTTGACTAAATCGGATCCTAACTGTTCTAACTACGATTACACCTTCCTATTTCCTAATTAGATTTCCTAAAAATTGTATAATGTAATAAGCGCTTAAGGAGTACAGACTGTGTATTAAAAAAGTGTCCATAGAAAACCGTTAAATAAGGGTGGCACTACTATAGCTACGGGCTAAATTCTAAAGAACGTGTCGAAAAATATTAGTAGGATAGACGACTTTTTCGAAGTTATATTTACTAAACATAATTATTTTAGATTTTAAAGCTACTGAGCAGTTTAGCAGCACACTTATTGAACTGTTATTTACTGCTTACAGATGGCCACTTTTTCAATTATTCTACTATGGGAGTTGGCACTCCTTACTTCTACACTCCATACTATTGTACTTTTGCCCGTGTATGTATTTCAGAAATAATCCTTTTTAATAATTTGTTTAAAAAATGCGTCACAAAAACATTCCGCCTGTGGCATCGCTCTCGAGCGGTCGCATCCAGGTAGTCCGCGCTTTCGTCCTTGTACGGTAGTGCTCTCTCGCTCTCGCGCCTCCGCTGTCCTGCTCGCGCTGTACAGCTCCGACGCACCGGTGAGTCTTTCACCGCTAACAGTTCTTGCCCCCATGTCCTCGGGCGGGGAGGTTTGACTGACCTCCGCTTGTTACTGTTATTTATTGTTATCTTTATTGTTATTTTTACTGTTATACTGTATTGTTAATTTTGTTATTTTCTTGTTATTCTTTGTTTTTCCTGCATTATTATTATACGTGTATATTGTCTCGTAGTACGTCTCGAGTTCAAGTCCCTGTTCTACCCAGAACAGGGACCCGTCCCAATCGTTACCGACCTTAGCTCTACTGCCCCAAAATGGCCACATATAGCCTAACTGAGTCCCTCGCCACCGTCATAAACCAATATGGTTTAAACAACAATGAGACGGTCCTCGCCGCCATCGCCACCATCGCCGCCCAGGCTCCCACCCTCTGCCCCTCAGGCACTCCATCCGCCGCCCGTAATCGCGACATACCTCCAAACTCAAAACTCCTTTGCACCCCTTGAAATGGAGTACGAACGCTCCGAGTCCTCCTCGTCGGCCTCCCGGAAGAGGCGCGCCACCAACTCGGGCACCGGTTCATCGGAGTCCTATGACTCCGACGGAATCGCAGACTCCTCTTTCACCACGGTGAACTCCAGGCGTAGTGGTAAACGCGCCCTGAAAAAACGCACCCTCCCTATCTCAACGGCCCCTGCCGCTCCTACAACCTCCGCAGCTTCCGCTGCCGCCTTTGCCCCCGCAGCCCCCGCCGCTGCCGCCGTCCCACTTATGTCACTAGACATCCTCACACCGGCCAAACCAGCCTCTCGTTGTGCTCCAGTCCTTGCCAAGAAGCAAGTCCCACCCCCTGTCTTCCTAAGAGACAAGGCAAAATTTACCCAACTCTCGAAAACCTGCTACGACGCAGGAATCAAATATGACCATGCCATCAACCTCGGGGAATCTATCAAAATCGTCCCTAACTCAATCGAGGACTTCCGGCAACTCACAAGGCTATTCACAGCCGAACGAGTATCATACTATACCTACGCTCTTCCGGAAGAGCGAAAAGTTAGGGCCGTCATCCGAGGCGTCCCCTTTGAATTCACTAACGAGGAAATCCTTGAGGACCTTAAGTCCCAAGGTTTCCCCGTAGAAGCCGTGCACAAAATGCACAGCAGAACGGGCAAGAGGTTCAATCTAGCCCTAGTCATTTTGACAAACGTGCCGGAGGCAAAAGCCATCTTCTGGCAGGTACGCACAGTGTGTGGCCTGTCGAGAGTGAAGGTTGAGCCCCCACATAGGCGCGGATTCCCGGCGCAGTGCCACCGCTGCCAACTATATGGTCATGCGGCGGCCAACTGCTCCGCCCCACCCAGGTGCGTTAAATGCCTCGAATCCCACAACACCAAAGAGTGCTTCCGGCCCAAAGACGCCGAATCCCCGCCCGCATGTGTCCTGTGCAAACAGACAGGCCACCCGGCTAACTACAGAGGCTGCCCCTGCGCACCTCAACCTCGCCCCAGTGGGCAAGCTCCACCGCCGGTCAATGATCGCTCATTCCCGGCTCTCCACCAACGGCCCCGTCAGGGCCTTTCTCAGCCCATCCAGGGCTTCTCTCGGCCCTCTCAGGGTCCCCCTAGGCCCCCTCAGGGCATAATTTGGCCCCCTCCGGGCTTCTCCAAGCCTATGCAGCCTCCAGTCTTTCCCTGGGGCCTGAAAAAGGCAGACCTACCGCGGACAACCTCCGCCCCACAACAATCACAGCCCTCAATGGCTGATGACCTAAAAACGTCGTTCTAACGTGTCTATTTCACCGTAAAAGAATTGTTCGACTAATTGTATTTATCTTACGATAATACGATAATTATCTTACGATAAATAATTGCGATGCGTGTAGGCAGCGAAACACACCTGTATTCTGGGAGAATTGCGCGTGAACTGGAAGCCGAATTTCCAAATTCCAAAATGGCGTAAATAATAAAAGTAATAAATAGGGCGGCCACAAGGTGCAATTATCGTTTATCGATACTTTTCTTTTTACACTTACTTACCTACTACATTTGAATACAAGTAATTTTGATTTTTGATTTGATAACAATCGACAAGTTATTGATTGTTAAAAAAAAGTTTATTTTTATACAATTGAACTTACGAAACTACCGATTTGTAACTTCCTGAGAAACGGGTAAGTATGTATGACATTTTAATTGGTTGTTTTTATGGGCTTTTTAGCATATTAAAATAATTTATTATCTCTAAATCTACAAGAACACACTTAAACAAAAAAGCTTTAAAGTTTAGCTTTAAATACTTAGCTCGTAGTGTTTTTAGAATTATCATAACAACACGATTATTCTAAGAAAACCATACCCTAAGTGTTTAAAGCTAAACATTTGTTTTGTTTATCGATTATTACTCCCTTTGAAAGAAGCTAATCGTCGATAACTGGTGTCCTACTCTATGACAAAGGCGCGCGCGCACTTGCGCTGTCGCCTTTGAAGTACGCCGCGTGCCTCGTGCCGCTTGTTTATGGACGCCGACAAAAGACACCGCTGTCGATATGTCGCAATACCAATAGTTTGCACTGCGTGGCAACGTCGCTTTTTAATGCTCAAGGATTCAAGTACATTGAATCATCGACTTAGTGACCCAATTCTATAGAGAGTTCAAATTTGCTTAAAATTAAAACTCTACTTTTTGACCTAATTACTGGACCGATTACGTTCATTTTTTGTATATCGTCAGCAAAGGCGATAACAAGTATATGGTTTCATTTATTGCATATATGTGGGACCCCATTCTGTATAATATATATATCAGTTATAATATATAATATTTAGCGAAATAAAGTGATTAATTATTAGTGTGTTCGGAAATTAAAGTGTCAATTTTGGTAATTCAATCGGCAGTTTTTATTGTCACGAACCCTAAGCTCGTAACAATACTCATTTTAGAAATTGTATGAAAAAAGTTTAAGCAACTTAGCTATTTTATCTAACAAACATTCCATAACCCGAAATTTGAACTTTAACGATGTAATTAACACTTTTGCTGAACAGAAAGACGCTTGAAAGGCAATCCTTACTAACCGACATAAATACGTAAAATGAGTTATATATACCATTCGAACCGCCAGATTTTTCTACGTCGTTTGGTCTAGGTCTCATAGTTCTACGACGAGTTTTATTGTCGCTTAGATATTGCATGATTTCGGTCAAATCTACATTTTGTATTTACTAAACGACCAAAAAATAGTGATTTTAAGAATATCCAGCAGTTACGACATTCTAACAACTAGGAATATGAACTTAGTCGGTTTTTCAGGTATTGACTTTTTCATTTATTTGTATTTTTACTTGTTATGAAATTTTCCTTTGAAACCACTTAGTAGATTTAACCTACACAAAGCAATTGTAATTTATGTGGTTATGTATTTTAACTTGTTATTTTATTTTGTGACAGTGTCATTTGTATAAGCTAACCTGAAAAAAAGTTTAAGAATATTAGAGCTTAGGTATTTTTACATGTATAACATAATATTTCTTTTTTATCCTTAGATATTTTTATTTGTTAACGGTTAATATTAGTGATGTCGGTTAGATAGTCTTACTGGATTTGCTAAATGGCTAAGTATGGCGCGTAGATAAATTTACCCGTACGCAAAATTTATATTCTCGTCGCTAAGAAACTGCTCCAGTTTAAAAAACGTCGTGTAGGTATGCGCGATATATCGCTACACGTGTCGTGACACGTCTATATGGGTTCTTATTCAGGCGCCCGCCGTCGCTTAGGAAGGACGTACTACACATTTTGGCGCGCATTAAATGAAACATGGTAAGTATTCAATCAAATTATGCAAAGGTAGTACCTATTTCAAAACAGCATTTCGTTTCGAATTATTTTTAAACTCTATTACGTTTTAGATAGAATAAAGTACTCATTTTAGGTCAATTTTATTTTACTTTGCAGCAAAAAATGAGTCGCGAGCGGAAACGACGTAATTCATCCATAGTCGAGATGGCGTTGGTCAATGCCGGCATAACAAGGAATGTTCCGCAGTGTCGAAGACGATTGAGTTATGATCTAAACACAGTAAGTAACCAATTTTTTATAATTTATTTCAGTACCTACTTATTTATCTTGTAAGTTCACTTAGTAAAAATACTCAGCATAAATCTGACATCATCGAATTGATTTTTTTTACAGTCTGCGGCTTGGTCAACTAATAGCAATACAAAGCAGTTTAACAAAACGTTAGAGCCAGCTTCTATCAGCATTGACACTTCGAAAGATTTGGCTTTTCCGGTTCTTGCCGATAGTTTAATATGCACCGCAACAGATCACACTGAAATAACTGCATCGATGAATGCTACAAGCATATCGGTTGATCACGAATTTAATATCACTTTAACTGCTGAACCAGATATTGAAGAACCGACTTTTAATCATCATCAAGTTGAGAAAAACACACAATATACATCACTTACGTCAGATCATGATGTACCGTCTACATCGGCAGAACCAAGCAAAGAATCTATCGTATCAAATCCAATTAAAAGTGAAGTTGGTAAAAGAAAATCCAAGAAAGATATTAAATATATTGACTATATGTCAGATCAAGAAGACTTTTCTACTTTTTATGGTGACATAGCTGATTCAGATAATTGGTCAGAAGGACAAGAAGGAATAACATCAGAAGATGATTTGCTGTCAGAGGAACAAAAAGTTAAAAGAAATAAAAGGTACACCAAAAAGGGGTCAAAAATCAAAGACGATGCCAATACCCAAGATGATGTAGTCGGAGAATCTGCGAGGAGAATAAAAAAATCTAATTCAAGAAAAGAACGGTCAAAAAACAAAAATTCTGGTCAACAATATATAACAAATAAGGGTGTCGTTGTACCAGCAAAAACTGTATTGGCTAATCCTTGTTCTGGCAAGAAATATGGCAATGATTGCGGGTCTCTGTCTGAAGAAAGAAGAGAAAGTTTATTTAATTTTTTTTTGGAATCTTGACAAAACACGTCGCCGTGATTGGTTAGTATCCCTGTCTCAAAAAGAAAATATTAAACGGAAACGCACCGATTCGAATAAGCGCAACTACACTATCAAATATTTCATCAACGAAGGAGAAGGTAGAAGATTTGTTTGCCAACAATTTTTAGCAGCCACTCTGAACATTTCTGATAAAACAATTTACAGTATAGTAAAAAATGCTTCTTGGGGATGTGCACGAGAAGATATGAGAGGGAAATGTGAGCCACCAAATAAGACTAAAAAATCCACTATAGATACCGTTGACAGGTTCATCAAAAATTTACCAGCTGTACCTTCGCACTATTGTCGTCAAGACTCAAGCAAAGTTTACCTTCCCCAAGAATATAAAAATGTCACCAACTTGTATAAACTTTACAAGCAGCATTACGTGAGTCAGGGTGTGGACGTAGTAAGTGATAGAATTTTTCGTAAAATATTTCAAGATAATTTTAACATTGGATTCCATGTACCTAAAAAAGATAAGTGCCTTAAGTGTCTTCAATACGAAAATAATAATAATCCCGAAAAGCAAAGAGAAAAGGAAGAACATGAAACAGAAAAAGAAGAAAGTTTTAAAGTTCACAAAAATATTCATAAGGATGATCCTTCAACTCTTTGTGCTAGTTTTGATCTCGAAAAAGTACTTAACACACCCTATGCACAATCTATGCTTTTGTACTACAGTAGAAAACTAGCTGTGTACAATTTGTGTGTTTATGAAAATGGAACTCGTAAAGTTTTCTGTTACTACTGGGATGAGAGCAATGGTAAGCGTGGCGCTAACGAGATTGCATCTATATTACACAAATATATTCAATCGGTAGATGCCAGAGGAAACGTCACTCGATTACTTCTGTATTGTGACTGTTGTCCGGGCCAAAATCGTAACCGTATTGTGTTGGCAATGTTGCATTCATCATTACAGGAGTGTAAAAATATCGACACTATTCAAATAAACTTTCTCTTGACTGGACACACTTACATGCCCGTAGATACAGTGCATGCTATTATTGAAAACAGATTAAAGAATACAACTGTTTACGCACCATCACAATGGTTTACAGTTTTTGCAACTGCTAGACAAGAACCAGCGCCTTTCGAGGTAGAAAGACTGAGTTATGAAGATTTTTATAGATGGGATAGTATTAGTGACAAATATTATAAAGGCAACTTAACTGGAAAAATAAGCAAGATCCGAATTATGACTTTCAGAAAAGACAAGCAAAGCGTTAAATATAAAACATCTATGAATCCTACTGCAGCTTCCTTTGATATTGAAGTTCAGTCTAAAACCAAGGTAACTCTTTTACCTTGTTATCGATCGCAACTTCCCATATCAAAAGCTAAATATGACGATTTAGTCAAACTTTGCGTGGACAAAGTTATTCCTAATTGCTTCAAACATGAATTTGTGAACATTCCACGCGCAACAAATGTTAAAGGTTGTCTACCCGAATCAGACATTAAAGATTGTGATATTAATATTTAGATTGAGTAACTAACAAGATCTCATGTTGCAATTCGTACTAAAGATTTATTTTGTAAGAGTTCAATTAGATTAAGGATTTTGTTTTATATTGCTATATTTTTGATATGTAAAATATCTTGTTTCTAGAGACTGATTATGTTGTGAGAATAATAATTATAAGTGTTGTTATTATAATAATTACAGTGATATTTATAATTGTGTCAAATATTTTCACACTTTGCACAGCAGGTTAATCTTGCTGTTATTTTGTATTTATTTGGTTTGTTTACTATGTTTAATAGTTTATTAATAATTAATTTTCTCACAATTGTGAGTTATATTATTTTTCGTAGTGAGTGACGAAGATGATAGTGTAATTTATAATTGCGACAGCAATAATAATTGTTCAATTAAAAAATATATTGATCTCAGAGTGAATTTTATGTGTCATAATTAGTTTCCTTATTAATTTTGTATGGTCGGCACTACGTAGCGTATTTGTTTAATTTTCAATAAAGACTTTTATTCAATAATAATTGATTTCATTTATTTTGGTGCATTATAATATTTACCTATACAGTTCTTCGTTAAATGTGAGTTACAAAGGGAGGTTTGGGGTAATTTTAATAACTAAGATACATTTTCCACAATCACAAAAATCATTAAATAACGCTTAGGCAAACTTACTTGATTTATTTTAAACTTTCAGATCTTTTTAGATCAATCTTTCTGTATCAAAATTCTAAACTCAGTAAGTTTACCTTTTTTGACATATTACTGCACACACTACCAGTGACGATTTAGATAATTTTACCTGTTTATCAAATCAGGTCAATTTTATATAACCGACACAAACCGGTGTTTATAAAAGCGTCAGGTGTCTTATTTTGACAATTTGGATAGCTATGAAAAAATTATTTCTACAGTGTTATTATCATTTTGATCTAACAATTAGGTGATTTTTTATGATTTTTTTTTAAATATTTGAACTTTAAATCATTCTCCTGTAAAGTTTACTCAATGTCGCTTAGTGAAGGTTGCCTTTCAAGCGTCGATATAAACAAACAATTATGAGACTGTACTTGCTGTACTTGCGTAAACATTGTTGTGAGCTTGGCTATTTCAGCGCCCATCTACAATCACGAAGTGTGCAGCTTTCGTAAGTACTTCTTGACGAGATCGGATGATCTATTCTACACGGACGTCATTTCATGTGATAAAGGGCTTACCTCTTTATCCTTAGCAACGAACAGTTGCAAGACCCAGCAGTACAGAGCATTGCCAACTGGCAGACTGTATGGAAATAGAAGGTGCTACATGGGAGGTTCTACAAGGCTCTAAATGAGCCTTTCGTAGATAGGGTTCGGTGACCTCTTTGGGGAAAACGAGGGTTTTGTCTGTGCGATACAGGATTAGGTTATTAAGACGAACAACTATCAGAGATACATCCTAAAGAATGGCACCGTCGCCATCTGTCGAGCTTGTCGCCATCCCTCTGAGTCACTTAGGCGTCATCTCCGGTTCTTCGGTGTTTTCTTACTCTGAGTACTTGTAAAGACACAATCCAGTACTCACTATGAAATACGGTCACGAGGATCCGAAATTGTCTTATTACAAGTAATTGTTTCAAGCCGTGCTCAAAAATGACCGTGCCAGGCTTTACTGGGACCAGGCTATTATCACAGATGGGACTATTCTTGCGAATAAGCCTTATGCTGATAGACCAGGCACAGTAAAGGATAGTTTTGTTCGACATTACCGTTCCATATGACGAGAACCTCACGAAAGCCGAAACAGATAATAAGCAAACAAAATATCTGGACCTGAAATATTACGAGGCGACATATGAGGGATCTGCCGACAGAAATTATTCCTGTAGTCGTTTCTATGAACGGACTAATCTCTGTCAGTCTCTCGGGTCATCTGAGGCGACTGGGACTCCGTGACAGACTGTTTCAGGTTAAAATGCAAAAGGTGCTCCTCGATACCACCTGCATCACACGTTTGTTTCTTCCTTTCCCTGTTTCTGTTTGGTCATATTTATATAATATGTATTTTTATTTATACAGTTATTTTAAAATATAATTATAAAAAATATATTAATGTATATTTATCATTTTCATTTATATGTTTATACAGCCCAACCAGATGAAAAAACTATATAAATGCAACAGAACATTTATTACTAGAACAAAAATTGTGATATCACTCTAGTACGCTATTTAAATTAAAACTTACTGAAAAATCAACTAATTACAATAGCGTTTTAAGTGGATACTTTACTTTAAACTTTTTTTAGAATAAGGATGACAATTGAGCACATAGCCCACCTGATGGTAAATCATCAATTCCAGAATGCCTCGTTTCCAGTAAAATGAATCTCCGGTCCGGTCGACACTCACCACACGAAACTCAGCAACTCAACGCTGCTGTGTTTCGTGTGGTGAGTGTATTTAACGCTGGTGTTCTGTAAGAGTGTGGTCCTTCGCCGGTCGAGCTGACTTATTCGTGCTAAAACAATACTACAAAAATACAATATAGCTGCTGCATGGCTATGCCACATATAAAGCTTCTTAATATTGGGTGGGAGAAGGCCTCATCCGATTAATTTGTCACGGGCCTCTAACGGTATAGTTATGCCACTGGGCAAGGCGCACCGTAACGTAAGGTGTGCCTTCTTATGCTGCCTTCCTTTCCACCTGCGCCAAGCCTTCGCGTAATGGATTCCGTGGGAGTACCCACGGAATCTATTACGCGAAGGCTATGGGGCCAGAAAAAACAAGCACTTAGAAGCACCTGGCTGCTCGAACCCAGCGGCGGATCTGGTGTATTGAATTAACTTCATGTTTTAACCTTGTAAATTTTACACAATATTTGCCACGATTGCCACATTTTGCAATGAGTTAAAAGTTACTTCCTTACCATCTTTACAGCCTATCAAAATACACTGCTGTATAAAGGACTCTCCCATAGTTGCCACGCTTAGCAAGTCGGTTGGTAACAGTAGTTTGTTATTTTTATTCAGCTGTTCAGGAAGATGCTGCTGCTCATCTCCTGGTTCAGTTTCCCATTGTTGCCTTTTACGACACCCATGGGATGATGCGGGGTAGTGGATATTCTTACGCAGCTACTACATGGTTACAAAAGATGATTATACATAAGCTATTACACTAGTAAGCGATTAATTTTATGGGCCTTTTCAATAGCCTAAAATTAGTTCAGAAGTGTTGTTATAAAATTTTAGTATTAGCCTTAAAAATAGTTCAAGAATATATATGCCAAAGATAGAAATAATCACTCACTACTGCCCATCACAGCTGAACATAGCTCAACCATAGATTGCCACCAGATATGGTCCTGAGACCTGCGTTCATCGTCTACCTGTGTGTGGCCGTCATTCTAAGGGGGTCGCTTGCTAGTACAACAACGTAACGTGACTCGTATTTGAGTAATTTTCTTTTCGAGTAAAATAATTTTATAATGAACTAATTTTCCTTATCTATGACATTAATGTCTTAATTTTAATCAAGAAACATGATATTGCTTATTCCTAGAACAAAACACTTATAAATTGTAAACATTATCCACATAATAAGGGATGACGCTCATTTGGCAAAGGAGCATTGACATTTTGTTATTAGAATTCCAAGGAAAAATATTAACTAAGAAAGACGACTGTGGCCTTTGTGCTTGATATGGATATTAAATCGCAAAATGATGTCCATTAATAATTCTATAAATAATTCTAGAGGTTCTTCAGTCTATAGAATTTTTGACGAAATTAATTGATTTTAAAGTAAATTATTTTCTTGAAATAATTCTAATAATACGAAAAATATAATAATAAAAAGATGGTTAGGAAACCTATTGATAGTTGCTTTTAACAAAGATATGTATATACTTTCTATAGTTTCTTTGCCATGTAAAATATCAATAAAATTCTAACCAAGATGTTTAATTAATATATGGCGAATGGAAACTAGAAAACATGCAATATAGATAAAAATACCGAGACTTGTCGCCGCCACTGGTGACAATAGGCCCGATTCTATTATCTTACAAGGGTTGAGACAATCTTTCACGTTGCAATTCAACAAGGAAGCGCAAGCAGCGTTCTTGGCACTATTCCATGAGGAGCGGGGGCTATACGATGTTACACGCTTATACTAAGTTATAGAAGATTATTTTCGTTAAGGTTATAATACGAAAATACACAAAAATTATTTTTGTAATGCGTACTGCAATGGAGTGGAATAAGCTGCTGACATCTGTTTTTTCCGTCAGATGACAACCTGGGTGTTTAAAAATAGCAAGAGTGAATGTATTAGGCTTTTATTATGATAATACAGTACGATTCCATCCATCACAATCCAGGCCTTCATCACCACTTACAACCCGGTGGCATTGTAGTCAAGTACTGCGTTATATATAATAAGTAAAATAAAATCTTACCGATCTTATCCAGAAAGTAACATAGCTTCGATTAACAGCAGTATAATTAAAATGAAGCGATTTTTTTAATTTAACTACGATTAACTCGTTTGTGCAAGGAACGCCAGTTATTCCTTTATAGGGCAATGTATATGATTTTACAACAATGCCTCAGAAAATAGGCAGGACCTATCAAAAAGTTTATATTTTTTTTAATAAACAAAAATTGTTTCTAATTCTATACTAAATCTCATATCAAATTTCGTCTCGAGGGTATCGTAAGAGGTGACAGAGGTAAACTAAAACAAAAGATGGGCAGCAGCATCCTCCTGATAACATCTCAAAAACTGCGGTTGCCAAACCACCCGTAAAGGGTGACGACTATGGCAAAATGCTTCCTTTGGGCTGTCTTTGGAAGAGGCTGTTCAGTTTTACCGCAATCTGATGAATGGTATCGCAGCGCATAAAATATGAACAATTAAAAATCCTATACCTTTAAACGAGCAATTCTGTGTGTGTTTTTCATAAAATTTAGTGTCCAGGTGGTTTCAGGGGCAATAAATCGATCTAGAAAGGTTTGGTGGATGCCG